GTGTGTGTGTGTGTGTGTGTGTGTGTGTGTGTGTGTGTGTAGGGAGGAAAACAAAAGGCAAATAGCAAAAGCTGTCTGCAAAGTATAGAACCATCCAATCACCAGGTATTGTTCCCCAGGATTCCCAGGGTTTAAAACTTTCTTCTCTCATTGCCCCAGTTGAGAAAGTAAGAGAAGATTAGGAGAAGGAGTGAAAATGGCCCAGTTCTCCTTGGGTAAAGGGGTGAATGAGGAACAAGAAAGAGAGGCTGGGTCTTGTGGATCATGATTGTCTTTCGTCAGAGGAACTTCCACATAATACATCCTGAAGAACTGAAGCATAGGACATGAGCCCTACCCAGAGATGAGACAGTGAGATGAGGAACATATGTCTGCATCCAATTGGCTTTGAGTAGTTTTCATAACACAGTGAAATGCTTAGGACCAGGTGATTTCTTAGGGGGCGTGTCCTCATGCACAGGTGATCACTCAGCAAGTGGCCAGGGATCCGACCATGTGCTACCCATCCTTACTGCAGGGGCCTGTGGGTAGGAGGCAGAGAGAAGAAACATTCCCACAGAGCCCTTGAAATAATGAAGCTGAGACTATAACCACTGTCTTCCTCTCCCAGAACACAACTTTAGGGGTTTGACTGCCAGGATAATGAGCAGCGCGCACGCGCACACACACACACACACACACTCATGTGCACACAGCAAAGTACTAAAGGTAACAAAAAGAAGCCTGAAAAATAGGGTAGACTAATCATTTATACACCTGGGATAAGGACATTCTAGGGCCTGGGGCTGAGTTAAGAATATCAATGGTCATCAAATTATGTACCATGCTGTGCACTTATCTCAATTGGTACACACATCCAGGTGTCTATTGTCTTTCTTGAAGGCTTTAGTGTCATGGATTTAAGTATTTCTTGATTTTTAAATTCATAATTATAGATTTCTTGTCCCCATTCCAGACTTGAATAAACAATTGCCTCATTGATGTCTTCATTTGCATGTCCAGTTCTTCTCTCCAGTTTAACGTGTAAAAATGAGGTCTTCATAGATCCCATTGTTTAACCCTTCATGTTACCTTTCTCAATCAACAGCACCACTAGTTGCTCAAACCCCAAACCTGGCATTGCTTATTTCTCATGCCTATGGATTATCAATTACTGCTGCTTCCATCTCCTAAAGTCAGGTGACCAGGTGATTTCTTAGGGAGCGTGTCCTCCCTGACCTCCCCACTCTGTCTTTACTCTCTTTTCTTTACCCTAGTCCAACTCACCACCACCCCTTCCCCAGACAACTGAGATTTCCTGGTCTTTGACCTCATGCCATTTATCCTCATTTCACTCTCTATGTGAATCACATCATCTCTCTCCTCTGTTTAAGAACCGTCACTGACTTCACATAGCCCTTAAGACAAAATCTAAACAGCTCACCCCCTAAGATCTTATCTCTTGCTTCTTCTCCAACATCACCTTGTACTTCTCTCATATGTGGTCTTATTTGTGATCCTTCGACACCCATGACCTGTATAGCTCAGGGCTTTGATACTTACCTGCTCAGAATGCTCTCCCCTTGCTTGTTAGCATGGCAACATTGGCATTCCCATCTTTGAAATCTCCGTTGAAACTACTTCTTCAGAGGGAACTTCCCTCACCAACCTACCCTCTTCAAAGCTAAATCCCAGGTTCATTTCTGACACAGCCTCCCTTTCTCTAAAACATTTATACAATATGTGAATATCTTATTTATTGTTTTTCATGAAAATTTTCTGTCTAGAAAGTAATGTATATATTGCATTAAAATATAAACTTACAAGAGTAGATATTTTGTCTAGATCACTGTTAAATTCTCAGTACCCGACACCATGTAGAGCACCCAGTAGTTGTTCCAATACAAGTTAAGTAAATGAACAGCCCCATATGAGCATTGCAGACATCTGAATCTAGATACAACAACACAAGAAAACAATCTGTGCCGGCCTGAAATTGTGCTGGGTGTGTGTTGGGAAATGATCACCTGTCACTAGAAGCAGCATTGCAGTGTCTAAGAAAGGAGCTGAGTCTCCTGTCTTCCTTCACCTGGGAACTGGCACTTCTGAAGGTGTGATTTGATTCATCCTTAATATATACTTAGGAAGAATGATCTAGGCATAGGGATTTTCTTGAGCTAAGAAATGAGTCTATTTCACAAAAGAACTAAAAACAGAACTCTGATTCATGAACTTGCTAATGGCTTTTCCCTCTCAGGGGATCCTCCCCGTGCACAATGAAACCTTTCTTGGGGCACAGCCTTATGCCTGATGTGAAGGTTGACCACAGAACATCAGCTTTGCCTGTAGGGTGGCAGACAGCACTTGTCAGGCTTAACTGGCTGTGTACCCTTCTGGCAGAATTCAGGGTTCTTCCCATTCTTCTTTGTTTCGAAGTTACTGACCTAATTGACAATCTCCTGAATAAAAGCGGCAATGATTTAAATGAATATGCCAGTGAATAATTGACTATAAAATTTGAAAACAAAACCAAAAAGAATCAAGGGCCAGCCAGTTTATAAACCAGAGAATATTATAGAAAATTGGACAAAGATAAAAAAGTATCTCCTATGTTGTGTTTATTGCTGCTTCCCTTTATTTATTTTTTTTGAATGGAACAATTTTTGCATGAAGACCAAATTGCTTAATTACAAAGGCTGTGAATGGGAAAACTGGGTAAACCAGTATACTAGCTTTCTCACCTTTCAATGAAACATGCAAGAGAGAGGAGGGGGAAACGGATACTAACAGTGTAGAAAAGAAGCAGAAGCTGTAGCATGGAAGACCTGGTGAGGAACAAAGTACAGAATGCAGTGAGTTCTAAAGCTAGCATCTCCCTTACCCGCTCACCACCTGACCTCTTCCCTAGAGGTCCAGAAGCCTTAGTTCCCTCCTCCCCTTCATCCCCTCTGGGAGCAAATGCTGCTGAGAACAACTGCAGTTTTAAAACACTTTGTGCAATACAAAGAACTCTTCCATGCATCTTGTGGTTTGAGAGTACATTTATGTATCTTTCTCATTGCTACCTCCAATGAACTCTTACTAATGCAGAAGCAGCCACACAAAGACACCTTGTAGTTGTTAGCTAATTTTGGCCACAGCCAGGCAGAAAGGAGAAAACTGAGGCATAGAGAAGCAAATGTCAATCTACCTGGAAGTAGCAGTTTGCAAAGATGAGCCCTCCCCCTATAGACCCTCAATCACCTGGTGTAGTGAAGAAAGACTATTTGGTGAAAGGCAGAAATGGATAGAAAGCCACTCTTACTTGTGTGCTCTTATAGAGTCAGGGAAAGAGTTAAGTGGTCCCTAATAACAAACTTTGTCCTATCCAAATATTGGTCAATGGATCTTCATTGTAGCCTGGTCTAGGAGCAGAGGCCATCTTTCTGGTAAAGCACTTAGAATGTGGCTGGTACACATTAGATGCTTAATAAATGCAGTTTTTTTTTTTAAATTAAGCCTCTGACATACTTTTTCTTCCACCCTTTCCTCCCTTTTCTTGGCTGTGCAATAAGCAGAAATTCCAGATGCATTCCAGGGAGGCTGCAAGCAAAGGCTTCCCCCAGGTGTATTTTCCTGGCTGTGATGTCTTTGATGCCACCATCTTCTGGTTCTTTCTTCACTGGGACTGCTACCTAACGTTCCCAGGACTCCTGGGAGAAGGAAGACTTGTGATGAGAAAGGCATTGGCAGGCTTCCCAACCCTTTCCTACTATCACTTTGCCATCCTGGGAGAGTTGCAGCCTCGCCTTCCCAGGTTTTCAAAGAGATATTCCCTGGGGGAATTGCATTGGAATACAATCTAATTTGGAAGCTTTCAAGACATTTCAAAAATACTTCCTTTTTCTTTTTCTCTCCCACCCCCACCCCCCTTTCTTTTTCTTCTTCTTTACAGTAGGATATTGGAGAAACCAGCATATGGGTCTTTGTAAATACAGAGAGAAGACATAGGATTTAATTTTTTAAATTAGATGTCTGGATGACTGGAGGCACACTGCTCTGTATCAAGTAGTGGGAGGGGTGTGTTGAGGTGGGGGTGAGGTGCGATTTCTCAGTGATCGAACACTGCGCAGGTCAACTCGGTAAACCCATATGAGAAAAGCTGATTGCGGCAATTGAGGGGGTGTGGTACTAGGGTACTGGCTCCTGTTTAGGGGGACCATGAATGGTGATTGTGTGAAAGCGAGAGGCGTGCCAAGAGAGCGCGGGGAAGATTACTGGGGAGGCAAGTGTGTGTCTATTTCCACAGCGCCCTGGCTCCCTGCAGCCCCTGGCTGGGTGAGGGGTGTGATGTGGGAGTGGGGTGGGAGGGGGCAGCAGGCGGGGCCTGCCACGTCACTTGGAGAGTGTGTTGGGAAGGAAGGGCAGAGCGGAGAGCCGAGCCGCTGCTGCTGCGGCGGCGGCAGCGAAGGCTAGAGTTGTGGGGAGGTGGGTCCCCGCGCTCCGGCGCGCCGGGGCAGCCTCAGGGCCCTCTCCGAAGCTTGCGGAGCAGCTCCTGGGGAGGAGGTGGTGTCTGTGGCGGCTTTAACCACGACCTTGGCCAAACCAAACCCCGCGGTGGACCTAGGGCGGAGGCCGAGTCCGGGCAGGAGTCTGCCGAGCCGGAGGGAGGCGCATCTGGCGCTTCGGTACCAGCGGCCGCCGGGGGCTTGAGCTGTTGGAGAAGCGCAGTGGGAGCTGGGAAGAGCCAGCTCGTCTGGAGGGCGGACCCCAGCGTCCAGGAGCCCAGCCTCAGGCACAGCAAGGGGCGAAGCCACGCGTCTTTTCGGACGGCCAATTTCACGCGCCAGTTTGAGATTCCAGGCATCTCAGTAAGCACCAGCACCGAGGCGCGGGTATCAGAAGCACGGAGCCAAATCCTCTGCGCCCAGGTCACCTCCCAGACCTATCCTTGCAGGGATCAGGGCTTCAGGGCTCACCAACCCAAACGCCAGGTCAGACCGCTAGCCTGCAGGAGCGCGAGCCCCACCCTAAGGAGGGAGCACAACCGGGAACTGGGAAGCGGGTGCAGCGCGCGCGCGAGGTTGGGTCGTGGGCGCCGTCCTAGTGGCGGGGAGCGCACAGCCAAGAGGACATGAGATCGGAGAAATCCCTTACGCTGGCGGCGCCGGGGGAGGTCCGTGGGCCGGAGGGGGAGCAACAGGATGCCGGAGACTTCCCGGAGGCCGCTGGCGGCGGCGGCTGCTGTAGTAGCGAGCGGCTGGTGATCAATATCTCGGGGCTGCGCTTTGAGACACAACTGCGCACCCTGTCGCTGTTTCCTGACACGCTGCTTGGGGACCCTGGCCGCCGAGTCCGCTTCTTTGACCCACTGAGGAATGAATACTTCTTCGACCGCAACCGGCCCAGCTTCGATGCCATCCTGTACTACTACCAGTCGGGGGGCCGCCTGCGGAGGCCGGTCAACGTGCCCCTCGACATCTTCATGGAGGAGATTCGCTTCTATCAACTGGGGGATGAAGCCTTGGCGGCCTTCCGGGAGGATGAGGGCTGTCTGCCCGAAGGTGGAGAGGACGAGAAGCCGCTACCCTCCCAGCCCTTCCAGCGCCAGGTTTGGCTTCTTTTTGAGTATCCTGAGAGCTCCGGGCCCGCCAGAGGCATCGCTATTGTCTCCGTATTGGTCATTCTCATCTCCATCGTCATCTTTTGCCTGGAGACCTTGCCCCAGTTTCGTGCAGATGGTCGCAGTGGAAGCAATGATGGTGGTGTGAGCCGAGTCTCCCCAGTTTCCAGGGGAAGTCAGGAGGAGGAGGAAGAGGAAGATGATTCCTATACATTTCACCCGGGCATCACCTCTGGGGGAATGGGGACAGGAGGTTCGTCCTCACTCAGTACTCTTGGGGGCTCCTTCTTCACAGATCCCTTCTTTCTGGTGGAGACTCTCTGCATTGTTTGGTTCACTTTTGAGCTCCTGGTGCGCTTTTCTGCCTGCCCCAGCAAGCCGGCCTTCTTCCGCAACATCATGAACATCATTGACTTGGTAGCCATCTTCCCCTACTTCATCACCCTGGGCACTGAATTAGTGCAGCAGCAGGAGCAGCAGCCAGCCAGTGGAGGGGGTGGCCAGAATGGGCAGCAGGCCATGTCCCTGGCCATCCTCAGGGTGATTCGCTTGGTCCGGGTGTTCCGCATCTTCAAGCTCTCCCGCCATTCCAAAGGGCTGCAGATCCTGGGGAAGACCTTGCAGGCCTCCATGAGGGAGCTGGGCCTGCTCATCTTCTTCCTCTTCATTGGAGTCATCCTCTTTTCCAGTGCCGTCTACTTTGCAGAGGCTGATGATGATGATTCACTCTTCCCCAGCATCCCAGATGCCTTCTGGTGGGCAGTGGTTACAATGACCACAGTGGGTTATGGAGACATGTACCCCATGACTGTCGGGGGCAAGATCGTGGGCTCTCTGTGCGCCATCGCTGGGGTCCTCACCATTGCCCTGCCTGTGCCAGTCATCGTTTCCAACTTCAACTACTTCTACCACCGGGAGACAGAGCAGGAGGAGCAAGGCCAGTATACCCACGTCACTTGTGGGCAGCCTACACCAGACCTGAAGGCAACTGACAATGGACTTGGCAAGCCGGACTTCTCTGAGGCCCCCCGGGAACGGAGGCCCAGCTACCTTCCCACTCCACATCGGGCATTTGCAGAGAAAAGGATGCTCACAGAGGTTTGACCCAGGCGGGCAGAGCCTACATGAGAAGGGTGTACTAAGTGAACTAACTCTTAGGCTTCTTTCTCATCCTCACAACTCTCACCCTAGATCCAGCTGACCTCTTGACTCCCTCTCCCTACACCCAGTACATGGCAACCAGGACCAAATACCTGGACTGTCAACCTTGTTGCTTGACCTGAACAGCATTCAAGGTTTATCCATCTAAGTGACATTTTTGAAATTGCAACGGTGCCACCCAATCATGTCCATCTTCTGTCACGTGGATGAGATATACTGTTCTGTCTGACCTTCCCTCAAGACTCTGATTTTTTCTGTCTGGAACTTGTCTTATCTTTAGGAGCAGAAACATTAATAGGATGGAAATCAGCCATACTTGAGTCCTATTACTCTCCTTATTGTCCTTTGCTTTGGGGGGCATGTACCTGTCTTAGCTTCTTGATAACTGGTGGAAGCTGGAAGATGGAAACAGTACTCAATGTGCTGTTTCATTCCATGAACTGTAACACCTGCTGGTCATCCTGCAGAGCACCCTCTATACAGACTTAGTTATACAGCCTCAAAATATGTTATCCATTTCTAATCTTGGATGGAATGAAAGAAAATGCAATTAAAGTAGATGATCTGGAGGACATGAGGGTCAGTCCTGGACCAAGGGGCCAAAGGATTCTCCCAGCTGTGATCTGGTATAGGAAACACTGGTCTTTGGTCTGCATTTAGTCCTCCCCACTCTTATCCCTGACTCTCTCTTGAGCTTCCAGGAAGGTTCCTTCTCAGAGCCAAATACTCTTTTTGTGCAAGTGCCTTCCTGTGCAGAGGAACTGGAAACAGGACCTACAGAACCAGGAGAAATGGCTGAATATAGTCAAGCAACTGGCTTGATCACAAACCAGAAGCAAGGTACCACTAAGCAGAGATTGTCATTTTGGAGGGGCAGAGTAATCTTGTTGCAGATGTCAGGTTTTTTCCTCCCTCATTTCACCAGAACCCTCTCTGGCTTTCCACTCTTCTTCCTGGGAATTTGACTTAGGATTTCAGGTGAAGGCTTTCTAAAGCAACCCCAGCTCAAATCTGTAGACAGGTGAAAACACATATTGATTGCCAGTTTCTTCTCATTTTATGGGTAATGACATATGTGGCTTAGGTTAAGGAACAAGCATTATTCCTTTGCTGACACTGGTAGAGGTTTTTGCTGAGTCAAGCAAACATTCACCTGCTCTGCCCCCTGGAGCTGTATCTGGCCTGCTCAAACTGGTAAGGTAATCTGGCTGTTTCCCACCTGGACTCAGCCATCCTCTTCCATTGTGAAACTACTGCCATCCATCCCACCTGCCCACTTCCCTCTTTTCTCCCCAGTCACTTTACCCTTTGTTTCTTGCCTTTGATAAACTGTGATGTACTGTTCGAATCTCTTCTGGGTGCAGTTCTGAAACTGAAAGGACTGTTACAATGCTTTTAATTTTATAACTATGCTTTAAGACTCTTAGATGAAAATTTTTAAAAAATAAAAATTCCTGAAGAGCAACTTCTGAGGGATAGCCTTTGAGGGTTTGCTTGAGAGGCAGTGTAGCTTCTGTGAGTGCCAGACTGAAATCTGGATTTTGCCACAGCTTTACAGGGTAGCTTTGGCACCACAGTCCCTCTTTGTGCCTCAGTTTCCCCCCATTAAATGGGAACATTAATGTCTTCCCCTCCCTACCTCATGGTGAATGTCAATGAGCTCATCTGGGAAGCTGGGGAAGACACTATGCACATATGTGAATTATAGTCGTTGATTTGATTTTTAGTTCATTACCCTGTCTCCCCACCTCCCAGAAGTAAGACCCCCCCCCCAGATTTTCTGCCTTGGAACCAAAACCCAAGAATAGCCATTCATTATGAGCTCTTCACTTCCTAAATCCCTCCCTGGGCTCTTGGGCTGCGCCTCAGTCTTTTTTCTTACCCTTCGGAATGGAGAATCATCTTTAGACAGGCTGGGTAGATCCTTTTTAGGGCTGGAGGTCACCTTGCCTAGGAGATTGGCTTCCTTAAACCTGAAATACAGTAGGAGACAAAGGTGTTTATGATTCAGAAACCTGTTCCAAGGTCAGGAAGTGCTATTTTTCCAAATCTCTTCTGTTACTCCTGGCTATTTGGGAAAAGAAGGGCCCATGTCAGTAGCTAAAGGGATGCCCCCTATTGGGACATGTATGCATGTATCTGTAGATATGTGTATGTGATCATGCTCATCATCATCCCTGAGCAAACATTGCCTTTTCAAATCAGAGCATGCCTGAAAGTAAAAGGTTTGTGGAGAGCTGGGATCTCTAGGGACTCTGGTTGCCGTAGCAACCTTCCAGACTGTTCTCTCAGTCTTCTGATTCGGGCATCAAGGGAGAACAGACTACATATTCCCAGCTTCTCAAATGGGAGCACCTTCTACTATTGGTTTAGGGGCAGGTAGAGCCAGGACAGGGACATAGGACCTTGGAAAATGTGGAGGAAACTAAACTTCTTGAACTTCCTCCTTGGATTCTTCCTGGTTTCCCCTACCCAGTCCTTGAAGCTGCCTCATCTTACCCCTGAGTCTTCAGAAACTTGAATGCTTAGCAGCTGCCCAGTTAAACCAACATCAATGTTATGCTTTTAAAAATGACCAGGGGAGCCCTCAGAATGGACAGTGTGTTCCTCCAGAAGCAGCCAGGCTGGGCTTTGCTGAGAACAGTCCTAGCCTTAGGTGTCATGGAGTTCTCATCTCCTAAGACAGAGGATCTTCCCAGCTCTAAGAGAGACTGAGAGAAATGAAGCCCCTTCTTCTCGGGGAGCAGTCGAGCTCCTGGGAGGGATCTCACAGTTCTTCTTGAGACATGGAAGAAAACCCGAAAGACTGTGGCCCAATCTAGTTTCTGTGAAGGATTTTGTCCAATGGCCCCTCTCTGACTGTGAGTCTCTTTATGTGGATGTCGTGACCTGAGCATCAGGAGAATATGCACTGTGTGTTGCTGGCCCAGCTGGGATGGGGACTCCCAGCTGCCAGGAAAGGTGGACTCTTTATACCAAGCCATCTTTATACCTGACTGGAGCCGACAGGGGCTCCCAGAGGACTTCCTGGGACTGTCAGCCTCAGCCTGGACTGAGGGATACTCCTTCTGCCCGAGAGCGTCCCTGAGGAGTGAGGAGGGACAGCTGGCTGTCTTTGTACCTGAGGTAGGTCCTACTGTGGGGGAATTTTGCTCCTGGATCAGCCTCCATGCCAAATTAGAAATCTGGACGGCAGGGAGAGAAAGTAGGAGAAGATTCAGCTTGGTGGGGGAGCAGGGTTTCATTTGCCTTTTCTCTGTGACCACCTTGCTCCATCTCTGTGTATTTTCTGTGCCTCCATTCACTTCCTTTTCCTCTGTCTCTGTCCTCTCAATGCTGCTTCTCCCACACCTTTCTTACCATCTCTTTCCCTCCTCTCCTTCCTCTCCCTTTTCTCCTTTTTTTTTATTCCTTTCTGTGCCTTTTTTTTCTTCCTTCTCTGTTTCATTTCTCCTGCCCCCACCCCATTGTTTTCAACCTCTTCTTCTTTCTCTGTGTATTTTTCTTCCTCTTTCTCCCTCTCTGTACCTTTTGGGTGGCTGGCAGCACCTACGGTGTTTCTGTTGAATTCTAGGACAGCTGTGATCCTGGGTGTTTTTGAAAAGGTCGGCCTCCAGCCAGAGGATTCCCTGTTTCCTGACATCTCAGTTCCCCATCCTTTCTTGCCACACTCCCCTATTGGGGGATGTCCTGCACTTACCAAGGAACTTGGGATGCTCTGGGTTTAGAAAAACATCTCCCAGTGATTTCCTGAACATATAAAGATGAAAGAGGGAGGGGGAGAGGGGTGGGAGCAGGGGAGAGAGAAGGAACTTGATGCCTTATGTTAATATTCTGCCATATAGTACTAGAGTATGTCATCTTAGGGTTCCTGAACCTTAAGAACCTTGCAGAGATGTTGAAGACAAAGGAACAGTAGGAATAGGAAAATAAACAGAAAAAAAGAGGACTTGGGAGGAAGGTATAAGATTGAAGTTAGAATGGGAAAGTCCTTCACTCGGGGTCGCCTGATAACTGCCAATCATTGACTTGGAGGTTTGCTTAGCCTGTGGCTGGCTCCCTTGTGTACTAGGGCAGAGAGACTGAGAGACACCATTCCCAGTGGTGTAAGGTGCAGGAGATGCTCCTTGGAGATGTAGGTTAAGATTCCCCACCAGTCCGTAAGGAGACTGTGTGGTTGCCCTACTGGAGGCTGTGGCATGTAGGTTTTTAAGTCCCATCTGCATCAGGACATCAGAACATTAGGACAACCCCAGGCTCCTCAGGGGCCCAAGACTGGGCTGTTAAGCTAGCACCAAAGTACTTTTGGGGGTGATGGAAATGTTCTGAAATAGAACTGTGGGGACAATCATTATTGTCATTAACAACTCCAAAAGTTAACAACAACAACAGAAAACATTGCAATTTGGGGGAAAAGGAGACATGAGTCTAGTAACCTGGGAGTCTCCCACTGAAATGGGAGGAAGATTTGGTTTTATAAGTCAAGGTTAGCATCTCTAGTGATGGACCAGATTGAAGGTCTGTAATGGAATGACAGTTTTTTTCTTCTGCCACACGGGGACACTTCAGAGCTTTCATGCAGTTGCACCTTGCGATTTGTGTACGATACCAAGAACTGATAGTGTGTGTGTTTTTTGGTCTATGAAGCTACTGTAGGATTTATATCCTTTTTCTTTCTCCAAAATTATGTCAAGCCATTCTTTTGGTAGGTGCAGAGTATGACTAGCACATCCTGAACTAATGATGAATGTGTTGGGCATATTAATTATATAGGAGTAGGGAGGTGAGCTTGCTCAAAGAATGTGTTTTTTGGGGGGGCCACAAACAAACAAACAAATAAATAAATCCTCTGCAAACAAACCAAAAGCCCCACCTAATTCTTGGACCTGTAAACTCTGACTTCCTTAAGAAATTTCCTAGAAGCCAAGGTTTTATTTCTCCCAACCTCCAACCTCAACTACCCACTAAAGTAGTCATTAACCCTTCTTTGCCCTAGAATGAGGACCAGCAGTC